AATAAGCCGTCGAATTCAAAGCAGCAGGACGTATTCTTCTTGATTAACGGTGTACCTATGCGCCCGCCCCTGCTCAGGCCGAGTCGGCCCTCGGCACTGCCTGATCCATAAAAGCACTGCAGGGCTGGGCGGCCGGCGCGCCCTGGCCTCCCTCACCTCACCCCCCCACCCCCCTCCTCCCTTTTCCAACCCGCTGTCTTTGGCTTTCGCGTGCGCGCGGGGGCCCGGGGCCCCCGCCCTGTCAGGCAGGTGCAGAGAGAGAAGGGTGCGGGTGAAGGGGGGGGGGGGGGGGCAGCGTTTGATTTTGAGAGAGGGGCATAAAGGGTGAGGGACCCGTCACGAAACGAGCGCGCCACGGCTATGTGTTTGTATATTGGGAACGTACACGAACGGCCATCCTACCCCAACACCACAAAGACAAAAGACAAAAAATGTTAAAAATTGTGGGGTGCAGCTTATTAAATCATTGCGAATAACCTCTTTCACACAAACCTGAGATACCAAAAAATAAACCAACATTATTATTTGTCTGAATTTTCTTACGCAAGCTTTACTTTTGATGTAAAATTATGTACGGTCTAGTTGGGTTTTAGAAGAAAAACAAATAACACTCGACTCAGGTAAAGTGTGCAGTGTGTGGCCGCTTTGCTCCCGGTCGCTCCTTCCCCCTGGCGGTTCCCATGCCGGCTGCAGCGGTAGTCACGCCCATGAGGACATGAGCCGTGGGGGGGGGGGGGGGGCACGTAGTACAGTTTACACGGTTCCACTCCGCGGTAGAGGGACCGTTGTGTCCGTGTGCGGCTCTCTGCTGCAGAGCAGCGCGCTCCTGCTTCACATATTCGTCCAGTTTGGGCGGAAGGCGAGGAGGCGAGCCAACGCCGCGGCTATATGGGGGGGCCGCCGAAACAATGCGATATGGAGGGCGCTGGACGGCCTCCTGGAGGAAGAGTATCCCACCGGGTCCCACACGATCCCGCCGCAAAAGCCCCGCCCGCCCGCTGCTCTGCCACGCCGCGCCGTGTCCGCGGACGTCTACACTGGAAAAACAAAGGTGCTACTATACTAATGCTTTTGTAAAGGCATTTGCTAGTACCTTATTGGTGTTTTTCTAGCGCATGCATCACTGTGCGCACCATTTTTCTTGCAAACTTCAACACAAATAAAACTACAAACGTAATACTAATAGACGCAAGCGCTAAATTGTAAAAAACGGCATCGTACTTATTATTACTTAAAATTGTATAATTTCGTGTCTGTCACCTTACAATTGACAGTAAAAAAAACATTGTCAAACTGTTGTTAAATTTGTAGATTCTTTTATAGTGCACGTTTACGTGCAAAAATAGCATTACAGTACAGTGCAATTATTCATAATACGAACTGTAGTCCCTGCTGTAACATTATAATGCCCTTAATTAAACACAAATCCAGTACGCCTGCTGCCGCACTCGTCCTTAGCGCATCACATTCTGCTACTTCTGCTGCTGCTGCTGTAATTTCCTACAACGATTACGATTTTTTATTTTTTTTCCGTCTTCTCTTTGCGAGCTCCAGGAATTGCAGACTGTTGGACGCATCGCATGACGCTATGACATTTTGCAGCGGCCGACGCGACGGAGGCGGCCAGCCTTCAGTCCCAGCGTGTGTGTGTGTGTGTGTGTGTGTGTGTGTGTGTGTGTGAATGGGACGGCCGGGGTCATAGGCGCTGCGTATGGCCCATGATGTAACCCACACATCACTTCACTCCTCCGCTTCATTTGATATCGCACACGCACACACACGCACACACCTCCGCATCCTTCAGAGGTATAAGCACCCTCATCGACACTACACGTATAAAAGTGTGCAACCTTATTTTCAAACGCTGCAAACTGATTGGATGTCTATAAAAGAATACCATCTTGCTGCACTCTTCATCTTACATCTGCGGAAAAAAAAAAGTAAATGGCAACGTGACTAAATGATGATAGCGCCATTTTCTCGACATTACACGCTTGTCGGCCGCATGCAATCCCATATCAAGCGGATCGAAAATCGAAAATAATGTGATTCGCGCCACGATGATTTGAAATGAGTGTCGGCTGAGGGGCTTTGCTTTGAGCTTGTCCCTCCTCCCCCGCCTGTTCTCCTTAACAGGAAGAAGGGGGGGTCATGAGGGACAGGAACTCATCACCAGGACATCTTGCGTCCTGCGTCGCCAAATGACTTTCACTTCCTCTTCGCGAGGCGCAGCGCGAATGTACAAGACACATTATGACAATCAGCACGCCAAAAAGAAAAGAGAGGGAAAAAACTGCGTTGCATATTTGAATTATTTCACTCGGAAGTAGCTTATACTATAGCGTTCTAACGCCCAGAGGACCTGAAGAGTTACGTGACTCACAGTGCACTAGCGTTGTTTATTTTTTAAATATTCACTATTATCCGATTATTATCCCCCTCCCCCCTCTTGGTTGGTTTTAATTATTATAATTCACTGCACGTCGCCGTGTAAGCGATAAGATTAGAACGGAACTCCCGCTCACACGCGCGCACGCGCGAGGGAGGAGGGTGCATTCGCACAATTATAAACTGAAGCGGTAAAAAAAAAGTAAAAAGTCTTACCCGTAAACTCTGTTTAAAATGGGTTGTGATTTTCCAACACTCGGTCGATACGCAGCAACTCAAATCCCAACACTAAACACTTCGTTGTAAGCAAAACTCGAGCATTTCACTGTACTAATTTGAGATAGTTGTGGACCAGTCGTAACATTTTTGAAGTTGTTCAATGTTTGGTAAAGAAGAAGAGTTCTGATTTCCCCCCATAAAAATCACGAAGAGTTCTGGCAATCTTTTCAACACAACGAAACTCTTTATGAAGTTGATAGGACCATTTATTTTGACGGAGAGGAAGTCACCGAGGCTCATGAAGTATGCGGGTTATGACAAGAAGTAACTGCGGGGTTTGATGGACAATTTCCAGGTTCTTTTTTCCGCCCATGCATTTTCCAGCAACAAAAAGTGTGTTTCGGCGGCGCGGCGAGCGCGTTATTTAGAAACAAACAACAAACGCGGCTTATTGTATGCAGATGCAAGCTCCTTCTCGTTATAGCGTCGTCCCCCCGCGCCGTCCGACTTACAGTATCGACTGCATATCTCAGTCCTCCTCCCTCCCCATACGATACCCCCACCTCCTCCCCTTTGTCTGCACGTCATTTCACACCAAGTGGACATGAACTAGAGGCCAGTATGTGTCTCGTGTGTGTGTGTGTGTGTGTGTGTGTGTGTGTGTGTGTGTGTGTGTGAGGGAGAGGATATGTGTGTGTGTGCTTACCGCGAACGTCCGAGCAGCGGTATGAGCGACTATAAATGGGCTAATCACTGTCAACGCTCGCTCCAGGCGGGAGGGGTGTTAGTGAGATACATATATAGTGCGCCTGCTTTTATCGAAGGTATATAAAAGCACACCCACACATACAGACACACCCACACCCACCGTGCAGACTGGGGAAAAAGTCTTAAAAATGAGAAATACATCAGGTTTTATTCCTTTCATCTTAGCTCTAGTGAAAAAAAAAACAAAAAAAAAAAAAGAAACAACAACAACATAAGGACCTGATTGAAGAGAAAAAGCCACAGCAAAACAATCAACTTTAATATTTCTCAATTTAAAAAAAACATTATATCAACTTTTTAATGCATTTTTTGAGATTTACAACACAAATTTAAAATAGGTACAACGTCACGACCGCGGAGAGGTTACGCTGGTGAGATGTCAACTATGAATGTATTGCGCTGCACGAGGGCGTTTGCGTGCGCACGTCCCGCGGCTGCGGCGTGAAGGGCAGGGCGTGTCGGACAAACACACACACACACACGCGCGCGCGCGCACACACACACACACAGGACACAAACGACGGAAAAGCGTGCGCACGAAGCCCTGCTCGTTTATAGATGGATGTATAAAGACCCCACCACCATCGCTGGGCCCGGGCCGGGCCTTGTCACGCTGGGCGTCCCCCTCTAGTGGTGGTGGTGGTGGTGGGGGGGG